TAAAAAGCGACAAATGTGTGTATAGTATAAAATGCTCTTTCCGCTTGAGTTTGTTTCTCATGCACTCTCTTTCTGGTGAAAATGTTTAAATAATTTGTGTTAATATTTTATTAAAAAAAAAATTTAAGACAGTAGATATAATTTTTTACGATTTTTTTTTCTTTATTTTTTTTTTTCAGGCGAAATAAATTAGATCAATAGATATTTATCATTAGATGAAACTATTTGACATCGTTATAGTTTTAGAAATGTAAAAAAAAAAAACAACCAGAATTCATACATTTCTTTAACAAGATATAAAAATGACGTAAAAATTATCGGAAATATATATAAAATGAAAAATAACCCTTTACCAGTTGTAAGTGAAATGTTTAGTTTGATGATATTTCATGTGCATGCCAATAACAATTTTTATTTCTGGGTGATTTAATTAACGTGTAGGTTGATTTTTGCTTAAGAGAACAAGCTGTATACCTATTCAGTTTATTTGATGGTTTCAGATTCGCACAAAGTTGCATTCACTGCAGTCACTTCGAGCGCTACAAACTACGGAAGTAGCCGAACTATACGTTCAACAGCTTGCTTTTAAATCATGGAAACGCTTATAATACCAGTAACTACCGCTTCACTGCCCCGTCTGAGGGTCTTTATGTGTTTTCCTGGTCACTTGCCCTTGTAAAGGGAAGCAGCTATAATGGAAACGTGTATATATTTGATAAGAAATGGAAGTGTCTACCACAGTACTAACTGTGCCAATACCTACCAACAGTGTGGGAGTACCGTGGCAATGTAGCTAGGAAAGAACAACCAGGTCTGGATTCAGACAAGAAGCAGCAACGTCTACGGTACATACTCCTCTTTCTCTGGCTGGAAAACACACTGGTGAAGAATGTAACACAAGCATTTAAAGACAAATTTAAATAAATAATTTTCAAAAAGTAAAAAAAAAAAATGTTCATGTAATTTAATTCCAAAAGATCAGATTCTCAGAGATGCTTACGTAGTTTTATTTCGTAATTTAAAATTAAAGAAAAAAAAACAGAGATTGAAATTTATATAGTACAAAAAATGAACGGAATGTTTGACAGAAACATTGTGCAAATGTATTATGTATTCACGTAAGAAGAATTTCTGCCTTTGGAATTTTTCACATCAATATTTCCATCGACATTTTCATCAACAATGTCTACATAAAGATGATCACTCTTATTCTCTTTCCGTGCCATGCAGTGCCTCCTTCATTGCTTACACGTGTTTTTCTGAATAATTCCAAAACTTGTTCGTTTTCCCATAAGGCACTGTTGCCTTGCTTATTTTGTGATTCAATGTCCTGATGCTGACTCTTACGTACAAATACAGGGGATAAGTATGTTGCGTCGCTGTTAAATCTTCCCTGTTGATCTTGATTAATAATGAACTATTGCTCTTCGACTCCAAATTGGAGACCTTAATATTGAACAGCCTGATTTACAAAGCCATGTTCTTGAAATCTATTTGATCTTCGTCGAAAACACTTTTGATAAAAGTATGTCATTGAAAATATTCCGAAAAACAGTACAAAAAGGCCAATAAAGGAAATTATAATGTAAACAATATGAGTGAGAGTATTGATGTTTTTGACTGATTTGTTGGAACAACAGGCAAAAGAGTTTGCTTTTGAGATGTTAAAACGTCCGTTGTTGAGAAGATTCGTACAGTTGTTAAGTATGTTGATACATGATATATAGACATGGATGCTCCTCTGTCAGACAGTGTTGATGTTGTAGACAACTTCGAAAAAGATTCTTTGAAATGAAAAAAGCATTTTATTTTATGTTTAAAATGTAATATATTTTCTATTATTCGCGTCATCTTTTATTCGCGATTCGTCAGTCTTAAATCAATCCGCGACGATTAATTTTCACGACTGAGGAAATATTCTCTATAAATACAAAGCAAAATAAATGGTTGGCGGGGATTAATATTCGCGAGTTAAAGTAGATCGCGAAACTCGCGCATATTTCTCGCACGCGAATAAAAGATGGTTTACAGTATATATATATATATATATATATATATATATATATATATATATATATATATATATATATATATATATATATATATATATATATATATATATATATATATATATATATATATATATATATATATATTCAAATTTGAAACATTAACAGTGTCCGGTTTTTATATAGATAAAATTAAAAAAAAAAAGAAAGGCAACACAGGTTAAAACGTTAGCGCTTTCATTATTATCTGCAGACGTTTTACAAATACATTATAACCTTTTCTTGACTGTAATGTCTAACAAAACTATTAATACTTTAAAAATCATTATCTATAATTGAATCTGACATCTAGCTATAAAATGCTTGCAGTGTGTTCACACCTCTGAAACCAAATCCAACATACATGTGTTTATATCACTAATTGGAGAACATGGGAAGGTTATACTCAGATTATTGTCAGAGATCAAATTATATAAAACTGTTAAGACTGGGCTTAAATTTTTGAATGAAATGTTTTTCTTTTTCTCTTCTTTCAATTATATTGTCTCTAAAAAGTTTATAAAAAGGAAATACTTTAAATTGTCCGTGTCCGCGTCTATATGTTCGCTGAGTTTCATCTTGCGGTACTCCGGAACTTGAATGTGTTGTTTATGCACCCGGATTCTGGCTCTCAATGTGGTCCCCGTTTCACCAATGTAGAATTGGTTACATCCTCCGCAAGTAATAACATATATTAAATTTTTGGACTCACATGCCATGTCCGAATTAATAAAAAAATCTTTTCCTCTGAAATTAATTGACGTTCCTTTTCTTAAAAAAGGACATGTGCCACGTCGCGGGTTTTTATACTTCGTCACGGATTTTGTAGATTTCCTTATTTTGGAAGGACAGAGCATTCTTCTGAGGTTTTTTGGCTGCCTTTTGCTGTTTATAAATTTAAATTTTGATAAAACACTTGACATTTCTTCATCTGTTTTGAGGATATTATTGAGATTTTGAATGATAGGAGTAATTTTTTGGTTGTTAGGGTTGTAAGTTGTGACTAGTGGTAATAATTTAATTTGCTCTACATCCTAAGCAGTTGGGTTAATTAATACTTGCCTGTCTAGTTCCTTTGATTTCTTGATGCCGTCGTTAATTAAGTTTAAAGGATAATGTTGGTATGTGAGATATATTTTCAATTCCTCCAGAAGTTGATTTCTGGTTTCTTCCTCACTGACTATTGTGCATATTCTTCGGGCTAGGTTGTATGGGATTGCTCTTTTAATGTGTCGTGGGTGGGAAGAACCAAAATGCAAATACTGACGAGTTTTATAAAATATATCTGTAGAAATTTTGTTGTTTTCCTTACAGATTAACACATTTAAAAATGGTAGTTGACTGGAACATTGTAAATTTAATATCTGGGTCTAATTCATTCAAGATATCATTGAAAATGCTCAAATCTGAATTATTTTTTTCCATATAATAAAACAATCATCTAGATATCTTTTCCAGTTTTTCTTAAGATATTCGCCAAATTCTTCATCAAATTGTTCACTGGCTTTTTCATAAAGTGTTTCTTCTAGATATCCAAGGGTGAGAGTTGCATATGTAGGGGCCATTTTGGTACCCATGGCTAGAAATAAAGGTAGAAATAGCTGCATCGTAAGTGACTGACTTACAGAACATAAGTTTATCCCACATTTCTGTTGCAGGCAAACATTTTGTACTGTCATATTGTGAGATAAATTTAGTAGACAAATCTATGATAAATCCATTAATCTTTAAAGCCTTTAAAATATCTTTCATACAGATGACTTAAAAAACCCAATCTAACTACATGTAGTTTAGGTGTAAATACATTATTTATCATTACGTTATCATTCTCATCCACACCATATATATACAAATGTGTGTGTATATATATATATATATATATATATATATATATATATATATATATATATATATATATATATATATATATATATATATATATATATATATATATATATATATATATATATATATATATAGAGAGAGAGAGAGAGAGAGAGAGAGAGAGAGAGAGAGAGAGAGAGAGAGAGAGAGAGAGAGAGAGAGAGAAAACAGCGTAAACTGACCAAAACCAGGTTATACTCGAATAATTTGGCCAAGAATTAGAGTCATTCTTTATAATTTAAATTTAAAATCATTCAATAACTATGGGTGTAAAATTTCGTTGCTTTTTATTAGTTCAAATTTGCCGCTCAATAATACAACCGTAGTAACGGAAGTAACGGAAGTGATGGAAAGCGAGGGGAGGTAAAAACTGATACATAGGCCTAGCAGCCTTGTTGTTTGTTTACATGTGGTAAGATCGAATTATTGTTTGAAGTTAAAGGTACATTTATTAAACCTGGAATTTTCCATGAATCCCGAGGACTGGAAATGAGGGGATTGCATGGATACAGATGATTCAGCTGGTTGTCGGGGGGGGGGGGGGGGTCCCATACCAAACCAGGTTATACAGAAATAATTTGTGTTCCTTTTTGGATATTAATTAACCAATCAGAGGCTAGAATACAAACAAAATTAAATTATATATATATATATATATATATATATATATATATATATATATATATATATATATATATATATATATATATATATATATATATATATATATATATATATATATATATATATATATATATATATATATATGTATATATATATGTATATATATATATATATATATATATATATATATATATATATATATATATATATATATATATATATATATATGTATATATATATATATATATATATATATATATATATATATATATATATATATATATATATATATATATATATATATATATATATATATATATATATATATATTAAATATATATATAATATTATGCGTAGCAAATGTGTGACACATATAAATCTAATTTACTAATTAAAAGTATTATAAATTATTTCTCAGTATTGTAAAATTGCACTTTTCTACTTATGCCTATTTTGTTCATTCTAGGAGTATGCACTGAATACAATATTCTAGGAGAAAGAATACAAGACTTGCACAGCGTTAGATGTACAAACCATTCACCACCCTGTCCGCCAATTTATCCATCAACAGATGCATACAAATGCAAGTTTTATTCTGTCATATTAAGCAATTTAAATAGAACGTGTCTTTAGTTTACTTCATAAGTCGATTAACGAACGTTTGCAAGCTAATTGTAATTTTTCAATGAAAGACACCAATTTTTGTTTTTATGTAACCTTAAAATTTTCGGAAACGTGATCTTTTATTTATCTTGTGAAATATATTAACTCTTTTTCATGCGATTACTCATTGCAAAGTACTACATTACGGAGGGAAATACTGAGATGGGAATGAAAAATATATATAGAGATACTGGAACAAATAAAACTGTCAAAGCAATTTTTCCATGCACTACATGTATCAAGTGATTTACAAAACATTGCAGTCAAATGTTAGTGTTATTATATGAAGAATTCCTACATTTTCTCTTCCTCCAAACTCCAACTTTGGTGACCTTACAAATGAATTATATATTACATATCTCCTTTTAAGAACCTTGACAGAATATTTCATAATTAGTGCATTTAAGATAGGTCTTTCGGCGTTCACTTTTAATCAAACCTTTAAATTGTTGATACTAAATTTGCAGACGATTCCTGTTATAAACTGGTTTATGATAAAAGGGGAAAAAGTACATCTCAAGGACCTGCTTCATACGAAACCACGAATACAGACCTAGAATTGACTACATTATCAATTGTCTTCAACTCTGAAAGTGGCACCAGGTAAGAAAAATTTAAGAAATGTACACATGAATTTGAATAGACTTGAATTTTCTATGATTTTCTGCATTTTGTTTTCGAATCCATTTCAGGGAAATGCTAATTGGAATAATTGTTGTACTGGCCGTTTTTATTGTAATACTTGCTACAGCTGTGATACACATGTACTTGAGGATATATACTCGACCTATCGGTAAGTTACTTGGAATCGTGAATGATTGAATAAAAAATTTTGTAATTAAGGAGAAAATATATTGTTTCAAGGAAATTGCGATAAAAGTATAAGTAAATAGAGATAAGTAAAATATGTCATTGAATATCATATGCATGCATAATTCCTGATACGGGCATAACATAATAATTGTGTTTATACACTTATACACGCAACGCAACGCAACGCAACAAAAAAAAAAAAAAAAAAAAAAAAAAAAAACCAGTCTATAAATTTATATGATATGATATTATACAGTTATTGACTGGGTATGTGGGCAACATATGATTTATTAGACCTAAAGGTGAAAATGTTGCCCAAAGCCACAGGCCAAGGGCAACATTTTCACCTTCAGGTCCAACAAATCATGTTGCGCAAATCCCAGTCTATATCTGTTTTGTTATACCCTTCACTTAAGATAGGACACTAAACTTAAAACCTTTAAACAGATTTACTCTTATGATTAAACAATTTCTTTATAAGTAATATTAAATAAAAATGACAACAATAAAGAATGAAAAATATAATCATTAAATTATTATAACTCAGAAATTATTTATCACAAAACGTTATTTTTCCCGTGACGCCATCTTCAAATAGCATGGTACGCGGAAACTCTAGAAACTTCGGCTATTTCCGTGTCGCCGATATTAAACGACGACTAATTAATTGTGAAGTAGCAGTGACGTTTAACAATTCTTATGTTGGACTGAAAGACCGGTCAACAATGAAATTGTTAGACCGATGAAAAAAAAAATTACTTTGTTGGACTTTTTTTTTATTTGTAATGAATATATAGAAAGATATTTATAAGGGTATAACAATGTAATTTGAATGCTATACACGTCGTCTCTCATGATGCATTTAATGGTTGTAGAGTAGAGCCAATTTCGGCAAAGAAATTCGACAGTAAACATATTATCGCTGTAGATTATTTTTTGTGAAAATGAACTGAAAGCATGATTAAGGATGAAAGAAGTTGAAAATGTATTCTAGAACGAGTTTCGGGTACATACAATCTATTTATTTTCACATAGTGGTGAAAACTGAAACGTAATATAACTTTTCTGTGTATGGTCCCCACCTGCATGCCAGTGGATATACTACATAATTTCAAGCTGTATACATTACCTGATCCATTGGAAGTTTTGCTATAGTCTCAGCTGAGTTATTGAGAATTTCTCCGGTGTTCTAATTTGCTGAGTTTTCCGATAATAAAAGGTTCTGACACAAAAGCAGGGATGAACACGGCATGTGCTTGCATACGGACGATCTCAAAGTCACATAAATTTACGTATTCGTAGTTGCAAAGTTGTCGAGTGCATTGCAATGCAGACTTAAATAGATCAGTCTTGATAATAATTTTCCTAATTAAGTAAGTCACACATTTATACCAGGAATCAAGTTTTTAATAATAATAGTTCACAATAACCAACAGTAATTTATAAATACTGCAATATATGCATTCTGAAACCTGCTCCTTCATATTTACGAAAAGAAAATGAAATTAAAAAAAAGCGAAATATATCTCACGAATATAATAAATAAACCACATACACTACTTTTGATCATCGTTTGGCAATCTACCAAGTCTTAATTTATAGTGTAAAGGATTTCTTTTTCGCTATTGTGCTTCTTTATTCCTTAAACCAAACATTTGTAAAAAAAAATTCAAAATCTAAAAGGTGTAAATGGGCAACAGGGGATGCTTACTCCTCCTAGATACCTTATCCCTACCCCTGGAATTTCCAGGGGGTCCGTAGTTTATGGCCTGTTTACAAATGTATATATTTTAAAAGATATTTTGAGATCGATTTCTTTTTGTTGTCTTTCCCTTTTTCAGATAATCAATTTACAGTGTCATTATTATATCTGTAATCAAAGTTGCAAGGAAATTGAGTATTGAAGTTCAAATTTATTAAATTTTCCCTGCATTACATTGTACAATCTTTGCTTCACAATGATAAATGTATAAATTTTAAAACAATTACGTTTTTTGAAATGGACTTTTTGTTTTCCATTCTAGGAAAAAAGTATGATAACGCAGCAGAACATGAAGAAATGACTATGATGTTAAAAGGCAATGGTATTTTTTTCTTCATTAGGAAGATCACAATTTTATTTTTAACTCAGTATTTTTATATCAGGACAGTTTGGGAATTTTATTCTAGCACTTCTACCACATTACCCTTGAAGAAAATTGAATTGGTTTTATTTTAATTTTAAATTGAACTTTTAGGTAATCAATATTTAGATTTCGAAAAGGTTAAGAAATGACACTAAATTATCGAGCCAGAATATTGTATTCTGGTATCATTATATTGTTTCTCTCTTTCCCAAGTGAAGTTAAGAGATCTCTAAATGATTTTTAACGATAGTTGAAATCGGCATTACGGAAAAATGTCTGTACTTGACGCATAAAATATAAGATTTGATCCGGGATCATACTCATTATTTCTATTTGTATTGTACTAGGTCAGATTGTCAATAAACTTACAGATTTGTCGTGTGAAAAAATTACATTGAATGATTGATTAAAATTATTATTTTTTTTAGAACATACAGAAACAGTACCAAAAAAAAAACAGGAACAAGAAACTGCATTTACATTTCAAAAGGGTAAAAAACACTTATTCAGACTTTATTCATTGCAAACTTTTTATGGTAGAAAATTAAATACATAAGATTATATATATATTTAGACGTATACCGTCATTCAAAAGAATCTACATATCAAAATCAATCACCATGCATGGGTAAATTTTTATTCCATGCAAAACAGAGATGATAATAACTCTCGCTTCCAATGTTTTTTTTTAATTTATTTATTTTTAATTATATAAGAATCGGTCACCGTGTATCTTGATATATAGAAATATTTACCAAATGTACTTATAGAGAAAGAATCAAGGAAAAAACCACAAATAGCAAAAGAGACCCACACAGACATAAACGGTGTGTAACTATTTTCGATAAAGTTATAAGCAATTCAGTAAGAAAATCCAATGTAAATTTTAATTCAATGAATATTTGTTCATCCTCATCTCCGATTGAAGAAAAGACACAAAAGTACGTACAGTGTAGTAATGAAATTATCAACAAAACTACATTTCAAGTTATGAACACACGTTTCATTTATTAATATGCATATATAAGAAAATCAACGATATGTAAAGCAGAATTTATATGTGTATAATATGGAAAAAATTCTGTTCAAAATTTCTTTCTTCATTTTATGAACATTTTAACTTTTGTTTTAGTGCTTGTGTCTTGTATGAACACTCTTGAACGCAAAGCAGAAGAAAATCTAGGTTTGTATTCTACCTTTCAAACTGATAAAAAAAAATACTTATGTTTACTAGATATTAATTGAAAACCCTGAACAAAAGAGCTATTTATTAGCGAGTGTAGCAGTAGTGTTTGTATTGAAGAATGATGTTTTGGTGAAATATTTTGCCTAGATAATCAAAACAAGATATGAAATTATTAATAATGAATTTATAATTTAATATAATTTTAATTGTAGATAATACCCAGAAATACTTGCATGAATACAGGACTTTTGACAAATATTTCGTTGAAACACGAATATTCAAAAAAATAAGGCATCTTCTTAATAAAACTGGTGTAGCTATTATTTCTGGTCCCCCTGGTTGCGGAAAAACGAACGCTGCTATTCACTTACTTCTTGATAAAGATTATGCTGAATGGGACAAACGAAAAATTCATAATAGCGAAGAATTGTCCTTCATTTTACCTAACAAAAATACATTAGTTTTCATTGATAATCTTTTCCAAGATACTTCTTCCGTGCACAATGTTGAACAATGGTGGAAGGAATTGGACAAAATATTTGATATATCTATAAAAATGTTCAGAGGAAAGGATGGTATACATAAAGGTGGAAGAGTTCGTCTCTTAATTACTGCAAGAGAGAATGTCATTGAAAACGCATGCAAGTATATGAAAAATGTTATACCAGTCTTAAACGAGAATTCAATAGTGCGAGTTATAAATGAATGGTGTGACGATGAGGAGGAAAGTATTGACACAAGATCTATATTTCCTCTACAGAAAAAAGAAAGAGAAGAAATTCTGTTTAGTCAGTTTGAATTTGCAGAAAAAGCATTTCAAGTGGAAAATAAAAAAATAGAAAAATCAGTATTGCAAGGAATCATAGAATCGAATGGGCCATTAGGGTTTCCTCTTTGTGCACATTTATTTGCATGCAAGGTAGATTACAGGATTAAAGGTACAACGTTTTTCTCTGATCCAACCGATTATATGAAAATTGAAATAGAAAACGAAATAAGCAATGATAGAAGCAACAGAACAAAAACATTGCTTTTCACAATGTTTGTATTTGAGTGGCATATCAAAAATAAGGAAAGTTATGATCAGCTAATGATAAATAATGAAGCGTTTTGCAGAAATTTTCTGAAAGGGGTATCCGGAGAACTCTTATCAAAATTTGAACCATTTGAATTTACAGATTTAACAATCGTTGCCAAACAATTATGCGGCGCTTTTTTAATTGAAAATGAAGATGGCATATTTAGATTTACACATGAAAGCGTTTTCGAAGCGGTTGCATCATATTTCTGTGATAGATATTTTGCACAAGCTGCGGATAATTTTCCTTTATCTGTCTTGGAAAATCAAGAAAGTAGTCTAGAAAATGAAGACAGAAGACGAATGCTGGCATTAAGATTATTGTACGAAATTTTTAATAGAAAAATCTCAGAAGTATTCCTTTATAAAGCGTTTTCTGTCCCCTCCTTTGTAGACTGTTTTTTTGAACAATTACAGAAACGAGTTGATCGCGTGATTAAAAAATTCTTTGATTCAACAGACGACAGTTCGGACTTGCCACTCCCACCTTCATTTTGGGCTGGAAAAGCAAATCTTTACTATCTCACTGAGAAGATGTTGAAATTAGCTCAAGAGAAAGGTATAAAGCATGATTATCATTTATGTATGACACTTTTAGGGGAATGCTGTTCAGTCGATAAAGGCTTGTTAAAAGAAAAATATGAAAAATATTGTGATATATTAGAAATACTGAAAAGCGAAGAAACAGGAGAATGCTCTTCAGTTGATGAAGGTCTGATGAAAGAAAAACATGAAAAATATTATATTGCATTAGAAAAACTGAAAAGTGAAATAACAAATTTAAAAAATGAAAATATGGATTCTATTCTGCACCTTGTTATTAAGTCTAGTCGGAGTGACGAACATATTTGTAAAATTATAAGACATTTGACCGAAAAAACCAGCATGAACATAAATGAAAGAAATAAGCAAAATATGACACCCATCATGTCTGCTTTAGAGTGCAGTAATCCACGGATCGAATGGAGTGATAAGAGAACTTATTCAACTGGGAGCAGAAATTAAATATAAAGATGCTAACGGATTGACAGTAATTCATTATTGTCTTCGCTCAAATGTGTCGGATTTGACATGTTGTGAAAACCTGGACGTGTTGCTTCAATGTAAACAATTCAAAAAACAAATAATAAATTTAGATGATTTGGAAGGGGAAACAGCTTTGAATGTTGCAGCAAAACACAACAAATACAGTAGACTACATAGTATTTTGACATTATTTGATAAATGTCCATACATAAACCCAAAGACCTTAAATTTGGATGGATTTTCACCCATTCATAGTGCAGTGTCAAATTTGAAGGGAGATGATGTCATGATTAATCTTGAACGTTGTGCACGTGTTGCGATTTTCATCATATATGGGGTAGATCCGGATCAGGAAGCAGATATTTACGACGATCAAGAGACAAGTAAAAGCGGTGATCAGATGATCAAAGAAGTAAAAGGCCTTACTGCGAAAGACATATGCATTAAAATGAAATACTCTCACACAGAGGCAATTTTAAACAATTGCTCAAATCAAAATCAAATAGCTGAAATAATTGAAGAAATATTGCAAAGCACACAAAAGGATAATCATGCACATGAAGTCACAGTCATAAATCCTGCGGAGAAAATGACGGATAAATTAATGTTTGCAATTGAGCGGGCAGTAAGGGTTTTGGCAAAAGTGAAATTGTCAAAATAGTCATTGAATCTTATAATCTCTTTTGTTATGTATCATAACAACCTGTTAAATCTTTTTCAAATGTTTGTTCTTCTGCAGTTTTGATCGTAATACATTAAAACTTGTTAGACAGGCTAACCTCACCAGCTTGTTTTGCTATGTTTACAAAATTCTGTTAAATTATAACGAAATGTTACTCGTCGTGCTCTCATGGCCTGATCAAAAAATAACTTGGTACACAGAGAAAATAAATGAAGATGAGGATTTCGTCGATCATTTTGATTTTTCTTAACAATGGTGCTAGGGTAATCCTAATGGTTTAAAGTGCAAAAACTATCATATTTAATACGATGTATTGCATAAGGGAAAAATGGAGGTGTAAAATTATGCTAAATTCTCTCTATCCAAGTCGGGACCCTATAAAATGGTTACTAATATACTTGTGGGTCATTACAAACATGATTAAAACATAACTCGTATTTGATGAATGTAGGTACTATCTATTAGTTTTCGGGAAAAAAGAAAGCGAAATCAGACATCCGTTAATTCAACGGATTTCCAGTACAATAACGTGTACTGTCACAAGTTTACAAAACATTAAGATAAATCATTATGTAGAAGTAAAGCAAACTCATTTCTAATTTTTAGAATATTATCATTCCACACAAGGAAACTAAAATTTCTTCAGAGAATTCTTTTATGGTATAGTGATAAAATGATTTTTTCGCTATTTTATATATATAAATAAAAATCCCTATCCAGAACAAAACAAAGAGGATGAAGGTATTTTACATTTATCAACTTGACTAGGTTGAACTTACCTCTTTTCTTTTGAGGAATGGAAACATGGAAACATGCATCTTTTAAAAAAAAAAATTACTAGCCAAATGGTTAAACCCATCTCCCCTTTACATAATGAAGCCATAGTGTTTTTGAAGGATTGTATGTATCAGTGTATATCTAGCAGAAATTGTGTCACAATGTAACCTTCGACTGGAAAAGTTGTAATTGGTACTTGATTGTTTATATATATATATATATATATATATATATATATATATATATATATATATATATATATATATATATATATATATATATATATATATATATATATATATATATTCTTAACAGATACATGTATGAATAGCCACGGATTTTATTTGGAAGGAGGAGAGATCCATTTGTTTACCCTCTCCTAAACTCCAATAGCTTTTTATAATTTTGATAAATACTTTAAAGCCTTTAAAGTTTGCACCATCCATGTGATTTTATGGAATGTTATAAATCAATTATTTGTTTATCATCTCTTTCTGTTTCAGTAAGGATTTTGCTTTTAGGGGATTTGTACTTTCTTTACAGGTATCAATGTCGGTCTTACGACACATTTTTCTAACTTTGGTCTCACAATGTGTACATGCCTAAGATTTTGTATTCATATAATGCATTTTTGTCCCCCACAGACAGCTTTCCACATTAATAAAAGTATATATGTTTTAAAAGACTTTTTTGTATTGAATTAGTTATCTTTTTAAAAAGGCTATATGCTCGGCTTCAATTAAATTGCATTTTTTTTTGTTTTATATTTAGCATCTTGCTGTGATATTTCATACCCATAATGTAATAGATATAGCGATTAAATGTCTGCCTGGAAAGAGACAAATGATTCATCTGTAAACTGTGGAAGTCCTCTTTTTCCCATAACTACATAAAACACGCGTATAGTGAAAACGCTTATAATGAATTGACGCTTACAGCGAAGTGATTTTTATTCCCCGTGACTTCAAATATACTGTGATAATAACAAATATATCGAATTACGTTTATTACGAATAAAAATCATCTGTCTCTGGCACTTCGTCATAAGCGTTTTTTACTGTATTGTCTTTCCAAAAGGAAAATACTTTTATTATCCAAGTTTTAGCAGAAACTGTTTTTCAAAATCTGTCTTTCTCTTTGAAGTAAGCAATAGATACTGCATTTGATGGCATACAAGTTCTTTGGAAATAAAGGAATATCTCAACTATTAAAAGACAATTACATATTCTCGTTTACTTTTACATGTAGGCAAACAGCGTCACTGGAATCTGATGTTGGTCAGGTAAAATTACGGGGAAAAGGTGCCCGGTCATAAGCCTTCAGAGTAAATGCAAACATACATGTTCCCTATTGAAAATCATAGCATCATGTCCATTCAATTATGTCATTCCATAATCATACTGGAGGCTGGTATTAAATATAAACAAAACAGGATACAAAATATATGTAATTGGTTCAAAACCCTTTCCATTCTTTCCTGTAATACTTGTTAAACAAAATCTGTGTTTAATACCACAGTGTCATTACATTTTCACTTTTCCAGGAAATGAAAGGGGAAATAATTGAACACAAACATGTACTCACCTTTTGGTTTAGTTAAGTAATATGTTCCAACTAAAGGTTGGATTGCTTGTATTGGCTTTTGCCGAAACAGTTTTTTCCTCTTGTGGGAGGTAAGACATCTACTAACGAGAAGTTAAGTTTGTGTTTGCAAGAGTTTTTGTTGTTTTTCAGTTGCTTTAATTTTTAATGTAATACTCAAGTTATTATGGATCTGTTTGCTGTGCTGGATTCTTTTGGAAGGAAGAGACAGCAAGATGTGAAAGTGAGCAAATTGATTATTTTTTCATTTGACATGTATGATATAATGTATAATATTTCATGCATGACATAACATACATCCATGCTTACTTTTATTATGTCTGATTTTCAAAACTCAAATGCCTTTAGTAACCCTTTAAAAAAAATTTAAAAGTGAGAAGTTTATTATTGGCATAATCACAAATTATTAACAATCATAATGATTTTTTTTAAATATAGCATTTGAATTTCTTTTTTAGAATGCCCTACAGGGTTTTACCGAACAAACTGTTCAGAGAGATGCAAGTATCCAAATTTTGGGGAAGACTGCCAAGGCGCATGTACCTGTGCAGAATACTTATGTAATTTTGTTACAGGTTGTGGTGAGTCAGTGCGACTTTTTTTTATTACAGCATTGGCTGCCTCAACTAATATATATATATATATATATATATATATATATATATATATATATATATATATATATATATATATATATATATATATATATATATATATATATATATATATATATATATTTGACTTAGATAACTATCCGTTAACAACAGGGAAACTTCGTCCTGAATCGAATCTTCCGGCTTCAACATTTTTTTCTGCTGAGGAATCCACATATATTAAAATTGTATATAAGGAAATCATTGTAACAGAGCAATCCGTCGCCACATCTGGGGGAAGCGATTATTTTCAAATGGGAATATTTATTCTTGTTGGAATTCTTGTTGTATTTATTGGTCTTTTTGTTGTCGCTTACTTTTACAAACACTTTCATGTTAAAAGAGATGAAATAAAAATACAGACCCACTTACGTAATCAAGAATTAGAGTACAAGGGACTTGATTTTGAAAAGATGGAAACAAATGAAATACATGAATTTCACAATGACCCAATACGAACTGAACCAGCGTATTTGCAGGCAGTGGACAACATATCTGCACAGTACGAAGACGTGGTATCAAAAAACACATCATCTGATTCTGACTGCGAACAATACAGAGGGAGCACGAATTCTGAATCTGAACAATGCAGAGAAAACACAAATACCATATCAGAAGATGCGAAACGTATATTGAAAGAAAATACTTACCTTTCACCAGAGAGCACGACCACTCACGTTTATGTTGAAGTTGAAGAAAGTAACTTCTATCAGTAAAGCGACAAAAACTCTTTTTAACACTGTTGGAAAATGTACTTGCTGACAGTTTTCTTAAAAAATGACGACATGTTTTGTAGTTATCAGTTCTGTCTTAAATGGTGTCAAACAGTAAATGTAATATCACTCCAAGATTTCAGAGTAGAAATATTGGAAGATTTTCAAATTCTCCATTTCGGACATGCAGTTTTGTTTATGCAAACCAGCATTATCAAAATATGAACATGTTATTGATATTTACACAATAAATAAATGAACACTTTATTAAAGTTTTGAATTTTGAATGTTTCCTTCATGAATGTAAATAACTAAAATTCTTTCACAATAATTAAACAAGAAAACATTGATGTAACCATCAATTGTCGCCCGGGAAATAAATAAAGTAAACAATGGAAATGAGTCTTGATCATCAAATAGCTTCGATATGTGTGAAAAAGGCATGCGTCTAAATGATGAAGACGATAGTCGAGAATAGTTTGAAAACCTATAGTCGGATGAAAATCGAACAAAAACGATATCCTTTTAAACTTTATCAATTCCTCAAGTAAATGTTGGCTGCATAAAATATAAATTGAAACCAGACACATGCATCACCTATTTTCAAAAATGTCTATCACTTTAAGAATATAAAACACGAACTGTGTAAAGTACGTTTTTACGTTTTTATGCGATAAGTAAAATTCGATGTTCTAAAAAAAGGGACCTGTCTTTTTTTCGGTAGTAAATGATAAGCAACTTTATATATTAAATATGAAAAACATATATATTTTTACAGATTCACTTTATGGAAGTAAATATATTGTGTATCTCGTAATTTATAAAGGGAAAGAACATTCTGATTAACAATCTTTTTAATGTTTAGAAAACCTTTAATTCTGAATAACTTCTCCCACCTCAATCCCCATATACCAACACTTAAACTTATATGTATAGAGCAGCCCGGTCCTCCGGGCTGCAATAAAACTTTTGTTGATTAATTGAAATGAATAAAAAGCAGAAATGAAATTGCTACATTTGTAGTTTGCTTAATTTTTACATTGGAAAGTATGTAAAAGCAATTACAACAACAATGTGAAATTCGCAAAAATAATGCTTAGCATATGTTTTGAAAACTGGTTATCTTGATTCCACTGAGTAATAATTAAGAATACGTATTGTTGTACAAATACGTAAAATCATGACTTATTACAATCTTAATATTCATTTCCAAATTGATAGAACCTTCGGAAGTGATTTTAATCTATAAGTACGTTCAACTCTGTAAATGTCAAATTTAAGTTAATATTCGAGGGTTGTAAGAAAAGTTCGCGGACACGTTAATTTACGGAAAATGTTAAGTGTGTTTTGAAAAATGATGTATGTCTGATTAAGATTTTATCTTTTATTTATTAGTATGAAAAAATAAGGTCCATTTATTAAAAGTTTGAAAATATACGATGATTTTACTGCGCGGTCATAGGATTCACGGAGTAATCGCTTATCGTTAGGTGACGTGACAACCTGTTTCCAAACTTGTTAAGCCTTTTCACGGTTCTGAATATCTTTCATTTCTGTAGACTTTTCATGTCTTTTTCCCACTTGAAAATCAAATTATTATATAAATGCATGTTACTTTTTTGTACAATGTCTTATTTTGGCGTATCGGATATTAGATCTAAAAATCAATGCCTACGTAGTTAAGAGATCAAGTACGGAAACAGTACAAAATCCATAGGCGCAACATCCATGGGATAAGCGGGGTATAGGGATATCATAAGAATTGATCATCAAAAATATCAGTCCTTCCATTCTTATTAAGCTAATACCATTTGAATACTTGAATTCTAAAAACGTGTAGTCAATTCCCAGCAGCATCTAGAACATTTTAGTGTCTTTCGGGTATTTTCCAGTCTGCACACATATTTTTTTTTTAATAACGCGGTGCTCCAAGACGTTCAATGACGTTGTCATTCTTGACTTTGTTTATACGCACTGGTCATCCACAATTAGCGATAAAACAGTCATGAACCCTCCAATTTAATTCAAAATTTCGCCAAATGACGTTTCATGATTATTGTAGCGGCAGGTAAATTATCATATAAATCTTTCTGCGCTACAACAGAGTAATTTTTAATTTTCAAAAAATGTCTATGTAATGTAAATGTGCGAAAAGGTGACATGCTCCGTGAAGCATGTTTTATCTAAATAAATTAGCTGTAATGTTTAAGGATCATCGGAAAACACCAAATCTTTACAGATTTATTGGAAAATATGTTTAGTTTTTTGTTTGCAGAGTTTTACTGGTTCCATGCAAATAGCGCGCTCACAATAGAATTTGTCTGCGAATTTTTCTAACAACCCTCGTATACAATACAAATACAGTAATCATTTCAAGTGTATTAAAACATGTATATTTAATAATGCATTATTTACGAAAAAATACTTTGAAAACTTCTTTTGGAAATATTTGCAGAAATGAATCCAGAAACTTGTAAATACATGTAAGTGCTTTGTACTGGTAACTGACCTTATATAAAAAAGCCATAAATGTATGGCGCGAAAAAAATATACCAAAATAATTTGTTATTTTAGTTTTCATTATTTGAAAAAAATGAGACTTATTTTGAAAGGGTAATTGGAGTAAAATCCAGCATAATATTTTATTGAGACTACACAAATATGAACAGTGTAAGTACATTAGTATTGTTTAAAAACAATGATGTTATGGGATTCCGAGAAAACGAAAGTGGAATCAAAGATGTTAAAAGAATTAAGTAAAAATATAAAAGAAACAGAAAAAGGGAATGGGCCCGAAGAAAAATTATAAGATATTTGTATAAATCAAGATCAGAAGAAATAAAGAAATAATTGTCGCGAAAAAAAAATTCTGATATTGTATATCTGTAAAGATAACGAAGGGCAATTTGAAGACGGATTTTAGAAACAAACAATATTAGTAATGCAGAATATTATTAGTCAAAATTAGAAATATATTTGTACGATGTGTTTTATACACCATTTTTGGGCACTTTACCCATAGAATTAATTCTTTATAATTGTGAATTATGACACCAATTCTTCGCCATAACATGTAGGGTGTTTCACCTAGGACACAGGTAGGTAGATAGCAGAGCTGTAATATTTGACATATTTTAATACTTCATGTAATCTATTTATTATTTTTAATTATTTTAGTTTTTATGGTATGTTTTGCACACCATTGAATCTCAACTAACGAATGTAGCAATAAATAAGAAAAAAATCTACTTTCCTTTTGAAACATATATAATATGTCTTTTGTAAAGAGACGTTGTTTGGATTGACTTCAAGGTCACTTATTTTTAAAAGGCCAATTATCCCCCCCCCCCTAAATAAAGGAAAAAAGAAAACAACAACAAAAAACTTCATTCATTAATCCTAGAAGGACTGGATGGAAAATGAGCTGTTTGTCACATTTAACATTTTAGACCTTTATAGACATTTTAAAACCAAAGTTATATTAAAACAAGGGGGGATTGTTCAGGGAGGATTTATTAGGTTAAATGTTTATGAACGACAGCACTTTTCAATTCGCATAAACCTAAAAATACAAGTCTACGTTGAAAACGTTCAAAATTAAAAAAGAAGAAGATATTTTTTCGTCAAGTCTTCTCAAATACACATATATCCAGAACACTACTCAGTCAAGAATCATCAAAACTATCATCAGTTGCAATTGATGCATCCTGAAGTGTCAAGGATCACACTGACATATTTTTGACTATTTTGGCTATCTTATTATAAGTCTAGGAATATTGATTATTTATTACATTTTCAACAGTGAAATACTGTGATTTATTTATTGAATAAAAGTGATATTCTCTCACAGTGTGAAAGAATACCAAAATGATATTCTCTCACAGTGTGAAAGGATATCAAAGTAAGTAAAAAATAATTTCTGGCCTGTCCTAAGATAAAGATAGTAAGTAAACATCTTGATAGAGCTAAAACTGCAATTTTCTTCCCAAATATGTTGCTAAAATCCATGCTATGTAATGTTTTCAATCTCACAACTGCTAAGCTATGACGTCTCAACCGATCAACTATGACGTCAAGCCTAGCTATGACACTGTGTTAAGAAAAGACAGAGGCAAAGGGAAAATCAAAGAAAATGTAATAAACAGAAAATTCAATGTTTTGTAGATGAATATGGAATTTATTTCACTCGTGAGACAGGATTTTTGATATTTTTACTCGTGCTTCGCACTCGTGAAAATATCAAAACATCCTGTCCCACTCGTGAAATAAATTCCATATTCATCTACAAAGCATTGAATATCCTCTATAACTTTGTTACTAAATTCTTTGCTTGTACAAAAAGAGGGCACCGAGTAACCGACTTAAAAATACAAGTATTCATATATAAATTACTTTCATCGTGAAGATTTTCGATACTAGAAACCTAAAATTATCAAATCTATTCTTTAGTTGATGCATCGTAAGGCTCCAGGGTGCAAGTGAAGGGCTATAGCTAGCAATCTATTGTATTAATTTCACAGGCTCTTTATTCAGAAATCTTTAACTGCTTAGTTTGAGATTTTTAGGTGTACATGTAGTATAAGAAAACTTTGAAAAATGATGCTACATTTGATTTCAGTAAGTCCTTTTTCAAGTCAACTTTTCGTAACATTTTCATGCATAAGACCGATCAAATAAAGAAAAAAAAAGCTTAAATATCCAGATATTTGCTTATTTATCTTATTATGGTAAATTCTTCTTTATACAATTTTTTTTTCACTCTGTCGTGAGATCTACATTTCTTATAGCATTCATATTTTTATATAATTACTAAAGCAATGGATTGACAAAAGTAGATTAATTCAGCTATTTAACATATTTGTGATATCTGAGTATGTTTTTACATAAAATCAAAACTTATTTGTAATAGCTGCTAAATCATTAGATATTGTATTATCTTTAGAGGCAGTCAAAAAACATTTTAATATTGATATGATCGTGCATTTCGGGTAATATCTCCATATTGAATTGAACTCATATCCACAAGAAACAAGGAATTATTAATGCATGAACTTTGCATCATACTGTAAAATCACATATTTTAGTGCCGTCAAATTTTTGTGGTTTGAGGAAAAACAATGGATTCGTGGACATGGTGAATGAAGAATTGTTGAGTAGTTATGTATGTGACATTTTACATTTCGTGGTGGACATGAATTCTTGGTCTCTTCAAACGTCGAAAACAACGAAAATTACCCCCTCCCCCGAAAATTTTCGATTTCACAGTATATAAAATATACAAGCAGGATGCCATCTGAATGCCTGGTAAGTTGCAATCTACCTGCGGACCAGTTTTTATTTGAATCAGACAAGAGAATTGCAGGAGGAGTGGCATTCTAAAAGAATTTCATGAATTGTTTAATTTTAGTTATCAGGTAACATAGTATGTTAAAAACACAAACTGATGCAAAAAATTATGCATCAGTCTAGTCTACTTTTCTACTAAACTTTAAGGAAATTGAACCAAAAAACAGAATTTTTTGAATTGACCAACAGACTGACATACTTCGGACAATTTACTAAATATAAAGCCCTATTTTTATCTTAACACCAACAAAATTAATCTGATAGAGATCGCTCAACATCCTATTACTTATGATTTCTTTTTGACTATAAGCTCTTTCATCTGTGCCACTTGTAAATCTCAGGCTGTTTTGATAATGTTTATATGTAAACGTGTCTAACTTTTTATGTACTCTAAACCTCCTTCACGGGATGAATGCCTATGTACGAATTTGAGAGAATGGCAAGTTTTCATATTAGTTGAAGATTAATTGTAGATGTGCTTGCTACAATGCATCCGTCGTTCCCTTAGCACTACAGTTTGTAGTTTCTTCTGGATTTTGTAGTGTTATACAATAAAAAAAAAATCACATTTGCAAAAGCTCTATCTTTAATAATCTTGATAATCTTTACAAATAAACACGTGTAGTTTTTTTTTTTTTTTTCAAAAAAGCTTTGCTGTCTTTAGAAATAGCCTGAAAGAGTAAACTGACATAAATGTAACTTATTACTTTTCGCCTTAATACGCTTCTCACTTAGATCTATCTGGAATGGAACTCAATAAACCAAATTCATGGCCCTTGGATCAGGGGTTCTGGTGTTAGGCTGGGACTCTATTAGTCATACACAGTAAAACACGCTTGGAGCGAAAACGCTTATAATGAACTGACGCTTATAGCGAAGTGATTTTCATTCCCCGTAGCTTCAATACATATTTATAACAAAGCAAAATCGTCTGTCCCTGGCACTTCGTTATTAGCGTGTCTTACCGTAGTAAAAATGCAATTATTCTACTCCCGGGTATTTAGCAGACAACTAATAACTTGCTTATGATGAGAAAGGGTTCCTGTACCTGAATTGTAAAATTCATATCCACCGAGACAGGAGCTATGGTGTTAAGGCGGGGCTCAGTAAAAAAAAAATCAATAAAAACGAAGGACACATTGTCACAACCTAACAAAAATACTATAGTTAACTATAGAAAATCAAAGTTTTCAAAGTTATCATCATAGTAAATCAAAGTTTTCAAGGTGATCACCATATAGTTTTTCAAAATTTTCATAGTTATCACTATAGTGTCATAGTGATCACTATAGTTAATCAAAGTTTTCAAAGTTATAACTATAGTAAATCAAAGTGTCAAAGTTATCACTATAGTTAACTATAGTAAATTTTATAATATATATATATATATATATATATATATATATATATATATATATATATATATATATATATATATATAAGTGCTCACTAGGACTTTTGGCCCTTCTGGCAAAAAATCAAAACGTTCACAACATTAGGTAACAATATGGTAAAGCAAGGCTTTAAAAACTCTTTTGACAAATAAGGTTAACGAGTGTTTCATCTTCTAGGGTTGATAAAATCCAAGCATTAATCTCAGATCTGTAGCACTCTGGTCCGAAAAAATTGGGATGGATGACCAGAGAGTTACAGTGAAACCCACTGAGAAAGTGTATATTTATTGAGCACATAAAATGCGCTGTTTCTCAATTAATTTATCTGTTGTTGCCATACTGGCCCTGAAATTGAGATCATTGAAAATTTCGCCTATTAACACTGCCATTTGGGGTAGCAAGACAATTCAGTCAAACGCTCTTCATGAATGACTTGTACGTACATTTTGTTGTGGAGGTCGTTAATGAATACATGTATGTTAGGTTAATAATAGTATGAGATATAAGGAGAAATAAATCGAGAAACAGCACATTTTTGTGCTCTATAAATATACACTTTCAATGGGTGTCACTGTAGATCTCTTGTTGTGCATCTCAATTATTTCAGACCAGCGAGCTAAAGATCTACATCTATTGTCTGACGTTAGCTCCTAGACTAATAAGGAAAGCAAAAGTTTGACTCATGTTCTCTATCTCTCTCAAACAATAGGGAATGACTATTCCAAATGACTTGTCAAAGGACCTTTCTAATGGCCTCACAATATCATATGTATGTTATGGTTGTGTACATTTGACTTCAACTTTGTATACGTAAAAAATGGTGAATGTTATGGCCGTACTGGTAAAAATTTCCGCTACTAGAAGTGTGTTTAAAGTATAATAAGGGTTTACCTTTAAGGATATAAATTGTGAAGTAATTGTTACTATTGTACAAATTAAAAAGAAAATCAATCACACTTTCAAAACTGATATCAATGACCGTTCCAAAGAAATGGAAACAACTCTTTCCAAATGCTATATCTGTTTTGAAGAAATTGTAAATGATTTTCCTTTTATACTTTACAATAGTAACAATAAGATTCCTTTTTTTCAGATGCTTATCTTTAGATACAAAGGAAGATTTAAAGATGATAATTAGAGCTCTTCTTACATTTTCATTTCTATTAAAGGTAGGTAAGTTTCCCATATTCTTAGGAGTACTTGCAGAGTTTCTCCTATTAAACAGTATCTATGGAAACTTTGAGGCAGATCGAATATACCATTAAATATGACAAGGCTATATGCCATAAAACTAATGGAAATGTGTTTTGATCAGCAACAGGCATAATTAAGTAACTTGTTTATTTCTTGCATAGAGTTTGACTCATAAGGAGTGAATCATATGAGGCGCCGTTTTGGTATTTACTGCCAAAAAGTGATATCACCTATTCGAATAAGTGATATCACCTATACGAATAGGTGATATCACCTATTCGAATAAGTGATATCACTCATTCAAATTTAATAGGTGATATCACATATTCGAATAGGTGATATCACTTATTCGAATAGGTGATATCACTTATTCGAATAGGTGATATCACTTATTCGAATAGGTGATATCACCTACTCGAATAGGTGATATCACTTTTTGGCAGTAAATACCAAAACGGCGCCTCATAGAATCAATAGTATCAAGAAGACGATCTGCTTAAGATTGACTCCACCGACATTTAAATAAAATTCGCATGTTCATGCTTTAGCAGTAACTGAGTCTTGGATATGATACATAGACCGGTAGACAGTTTTTAAATCAGCAAGATGTGTGTCATGTCTTCACACTTAGACATAAGTAAACCAATGCACCATAGTTTAAAATCCATCCTGTAAAATCAGTCAGATAAAAAATTGCTCTAATAAACAGTTTCATGCAAGAATGCAAGATTTAAAAGATTTACATCTATAATAATTTCAGACAGCATTTACAAGCAATTTGTATTGCCAATGGTCTAATAATACAGTGGAACATGTCCCCTTCTGTCCAACAAAGGAGGAAGACTGGATAATCGCAGCAAAGCAAAAAAACTGCTCAATGTATGCCAGTTTACAGAACTGTACAAAGGATATTGAGCAATTTCAGTATCATTGTGCCATAAATGAATATAAAAATGCAACTGTGGAAGTCTGTGCACCCGTTCGTTTTATCATTGGTAAGTTTATATTGTATTAGCACGTGTCACTCAGTCACTGAGTCAGGTGACCTATTCTTTTAAGTATCTGGGTTTTTTCGTCGTCTTGCGTCGATCGACGTGCTTTGTGAGTAAACTTAAACCTTTTTCTCCTGAATGGAGAACCAAATTTAACCCGTTTACATATATGATAACTAACATATAGCATCTATTGGTAAAAAGAGAGAAAATTTGTAAATTTTTATGGGTAAAAAGAAACAAAAATTGTAAATTTCGTTGACCCCCCCACCCCCCCCCCCCCCCCCCGAAGACTGAGGCCCGGAAGATGGGACCCAATCCATCACAATTAATGTAACCTGCAAAAAAATCAACTTTATAAATGGACACTAAGCAGTCAAATTGCCGGCATGATTGAAATAAACAATGAGCCCTTGTGACTGTTTATATTGTCGTGTTGTACATGTTGTCTTCGGTGGTAATATGTACCTACCCTCACTGCACACATTGTCGTCCATCGGCACATATTGTCATCCGACGGCACATATTGTCGCCGGCTGAAAAGTTACACATGTACATATTGTCGCCGGCTACATTATGTGCCTACTCTCACCCCATATATTGTCGGTACATGGGTAGGCTTCCTTGAGGATTTTTTTTCAGTTTTGTGAATGTAATTGGTGTGCAAATCATTTCTTTCAGAGCAGATGTGACGATACTTATTGTCTCCCTATTCATATTGTCGCTAGCGACATTACATATCTTTCCTAACTGCACATTTTTTCGTTCGTCGGTATGTATTGTCGCAGGCTGCAAAGTTATACATGTAAATATTGTCCTTGACGACAATATTTGCGTACCCTTACTGCTCTCTCTATTCACGACCCCAGTGAATATTCGTCAAAGCAATATATCGGCGACAAAATGTGCATATGTTCACAGAACATATTGTCGAGGACAACAGTATGTGCTGATGCCTGAGTGTAAATTTTGTCGTCCATTATGCAGGAGGAAGAAAAGGCTCGTCTCTCTTCAGATATTGTCGCCGGGGACAATATGTACCGATGGAAGACAACGTGTGCAGTGGGGTAGGTACATATTGTTGCAGACAACAATATACCCTTGGTCTTGGTTTTGGTCCTCAGGTTTGAATTAGTTGGTCAAATACTGAAAACGCATCATGTCTTGTTTTTTATGGAAATATAGTAGACAAAATGCTTCCATAATTATGATAAGCAATAAACCGTCTACAAATCTTATAAAGTTATGTCTCCAAGATTCAGGGATCAGGCCCATGATTACACTTGGTCTACTTTTGTCGTAAATTGAAATTTATTTTGCATGAACACTGTATGCCTCCAGCCTTGCTGTAGAATTTTTTGGAGACAAACTGCATAAATACGATAACTATTACATACATACGATAACTATTAGTCCTTAAAACTATATTTTTCTAGGTCACGAGATACTAGATTACCAGTGCCAGGTTAAGCAAAGACGGTTATAAATTGAAAAACTCAATGACATGTTACTAAGTTGACCGAAAGGGCCCATGGGCTTCTTGTTTATTTTTTTTTTAATTCTCCTTGTCTAGCTAGGTAATTCTTATGTTTAATTTCTTTGTATGCCTTTTTTTCAAATTAAAAATTAAAGCAAATATCAATTTTTATTTCAGATGGTTTCTGCACAGAATTCAATACGAAAGGCGCCCGGATTCAGCCACATTATGGCGTAAAATGTTCAGACTTCCCAAATCCGTGTCCAGATAGATACAAGTCAACAGAGTCCTACAAATGTATTCATACAAACATATAGATATACGTACATACAAACATTGATGGATCCTACCAACTGCCCATAGCAAACACCCGCAACATTACGGACCGTATAACTTAAATAAGACATTCTAAGCAATTAACAAAATCTGACCGATGATTATGTTACCTTTAGTTCTTCTTTATTTTGTAAAGATTAAAAGAAGGGGGGAAAAATCACTTTTAGATCCATAAAATCTTGCCTGAATACTAGCATTGTCAAAGCATTTTTTGATTATTTCTTTTTCTTTGATACTTGTATAAATATTATTTCCTATTAGATCCAATGTGCTACGAATATGCCATTCAATCATCAAAGATTACAACAATGGAAGGAATTTACACAACACCTCATATGACTAATTCATCAACCAGCAATTCTGGCCAATCAAATGAAACTTCATCGTAAGTTTTTTTGTTTTTTTTTGCATGTCATAAGTTACGAAAGCCGGATAGGCTCATTTTTGACAAGACAAAAAAAAAATTTAACTCGTTATAACGAGATAATTATCTCGTAATAACGAGTTAGTATCTCGTTATAACGAGTTAGTATCTCGTTATAACAAGTTAATATCTCGTTATAACGAGTTAGTTATCTCGTTATAACGAGATAATTATCTCGTTATAACGAGTTAGTTATCTCGTTATAACGAGTTAGTATCTCGTTATAACGAGTTAGTTATCTCGTTATAACGAGTTAGTATCTCGTTATAACGAGTTAGTATCTCGTTATAACGAGTTAGTTATCTCGTTATAACGAGTTAGTTATCTCGTTATAACGAGAAAATTATCTCGTTATAACGAGTTAGTTATCTCGTTATAACGAGTTAGTTATCTCGTTATAACGAGTTAGTATCTCGTTATAACGAGTTAGTTATCTCGTTATAACGAGTTAGTATCTCGTTATAACGAGTTAGTTATCTCCTTATAACGAGATAATTATCTCGTTATAACGAGTTAGTTATCTCGTTATAACGAGATAATTATCTCGTTATAACGAGATAAAAATTGATCTAGAATTGATATATTTAAGTAAAGAATAGATCATTATTTATAGGAAATATACAGAAGCAAGTCGATCAAATTTGTTTGAAGTGTGCGTGATAAAGATTCTATGGAACAGCATACTAGTTTTTTTGTGTTATGCCTTTGATTAGTATTGTTTATTGGAAAGACCAAAGACAAATATACGGAAACTTGTGACCGCCTCATGTTGTTGTGTTGTACCTTAAAATTGCAAAATAAAATTAGTGTCATCTTCAAATGGAATGTATATAACATCAAAATTTTGTCAACTTGTACAAGGAGATCAGAAAAAAATGTTATACTCTGGCTGATTTAACTGCCCTGTTCAAGCTTTCTTGAATTTGCTAAAATTATAATAATGTTTGCGTAATATTTGTCGCAATAAAAAATGCATAGAAATAATCCTATTATTTTGAATATTCAGAATAAATCATGTGGATATGAAACCATTTGTTAGGCTTTAACGATCATATTTTGATAATTCCTTGCCTGTTAACAAGGAATACCAGTTCAATTTTATCGTCTTAAAGGGGCAAGATCAAAATTCAATGTCTGACAAAAAACTAAATTCACGTTGTTTTTATCATCAATCCCTCCTTCCCCTCAATAATAAATATGATGAATATCAAGAACTAATACTGTACTTATCACTTAATAATTTATATATTTCTTCTGTTTATTAAAAGAAAGAAACATTTTAATTTACCAATTTGGCATGGAATCTTAAATTACAATATGTAATTTTTGCGTTATTATCAATGTGGTAGAATTAAAAAAACTTTCGGAGCTCTTTATTTAATATCTAAAGTTTACAATATGATAAGCATTACTTAAGGTCAAGATCTAGTAAATGACTTTAGACTAACTGTTTGGTGCTAGATCCATTATGACGTCATAATCAATTTCAACTTTCTTTTTCCCGTACTTTACGGCTGTAATATAATTCTGTAGAAAATAAAGTATTTTCAAGGAATTCAATTTGAAATCATGTGAAAAGTAATCCCGATACCTATATTCAATTTAATATTATTTTAAAGAAGAGGCCAAGAACATACAAATTACCGTTTTCTGAGAGACTGTAGGCAAATCTGGATACATTTCCTTTGTCTGATATGGAAAAAACTCCGGTATTCATGACTGGTTTTCTTAATTTTTCATTGAAAATGACAGTTTAAAATATGATTTTTCGTCTTGTTTGCCTACAAACTGTGCCACGAAACACCTTATTTGACCAAGCTAAAGTTATAAAGCATCATTAGAGGAATTTATTTCTCAAATTTGAGGAATCTGTAGGCACCTTTTATTTACTAGATCTTGACCTTAAGGTGTATTTCAAGCATAAATTTTGCCAAGAAATGTGTATTGTATGTTGAGACAGGATTTTTGATATTTTCACTCGTGCTTCGCACTCATGAAAATATAAAAAAAAATTCCTGTCCCACTCGTGAAATAAATTCCATATCAACTACAAAACATTGAATATCCTCTATTTATTACCCCCCCCCCCCAAAAAAAAAAATCATCAATCTCTTTTTGAAATAAAAATTATATGCTTGTAAAGTATACATAATAAATATTGTGATGAGGAAAATAAATACTTGCTTCAATGTTGTATTAATAATATAGATGTACATATGTAGCATTAGGCCTATTTGTTGATCAATCCTAAGTAAAAAGATTATAAAAGTAAACTGGCTTTGTAAACTCTGTAAATTTTTTTTGTTTTGTAAACTCTGGTTTGACGTTCTGACACTATGTGGTAAACATATAGGATCCGCCAAATAGACGTGAATCTCCAATAGGTCTCCGTGAATCTCCACAACTTGGCCCCTCCCCCCCCCCCCCCCCCTGCAAAAAATATAAACAGTGAATCATGACAGAATATTAGATAAAATGTCAATATCAGCAGATCAGATTTAACGTCTTATTACTTTAAAAGGATGTAATATCATTTTTGCTTCACCATTCCTCATTATCGTGGACAATATGCATAAGTCACGAAGTTCAAAGGGGGGGGGGGGGGGTAAACCAAGTAAAATATTTGACAAGTAAAAAGAAAAAAAGGTAGATTTGATATTCCAACTACGAGTATTCGCCATTATTTTCGGGAGATATATACTCAGGTAAAAAAATGTGGAGGAAGGGGCACAAGATACTCTTGACCGCCCCCTTTTCAAAAGTGGTAGTGTGGACATTAGCCCCTCTATTACTACGCCTATGATCTAACTGCTGATGTCTCACCATCCCCCTTCTTCAAAACATTTCTGAATCTCAGAAGTAACATATGTATAACACTGTAATCTATATATAATATGTTGCATAAACGATATGTTGCACTTATATTGTCTCTGATATTTAATTTTAGCGGTATAGAAATTGATATATGAAAGTGTATACCAGAAAGTCGTCCAAAACATATCGAAATAGTGTCATTCATCAGAAATAGTTGTCATAAATAAATTGCCAAAGTTTGAGGCAAGTATGTTTGGCAATATTATTTTAAGAAAAATATCGCGTCCTAATGCAACAAATTGAGGAGGAGTTCACGAAAATGTGTAAATGTGTTCGCCTTAGAGTTGCTATGATTATTGACAGCGAGATAGTTCAAGATTTAATTATAAGTAAACCCAAGAGCAAATTAAATTTTCAATCAATTGTTCAAGTTAAATTTGACTGATAATTACTTGCTAAAAATTCAACGGCATTTAAAACTGCAGCCATTTTTATTCCTATATTGCTATTAAGTCTCGAAATAACAAAAAAACTGTCTCGTTATAACGACATAACTAACTCGTTATAACGAGATAATTATCTAGTTATAACGACATAACTAACTCGTTATAACGAGATAATTATCTCGTTATAACGAGATAATTATCTCGTTATAACGAGATAATTATATCGTTATAACGAGATAACTAACTCGTTATAACGAGATACTAACTCGTTATAACGAGATAATTATCTCGTTATAACGAGATAACTAACTCGTTATAACGAGATAACTAACTCGTTATAACGAGATAACTAACTCGTTATAACGCGATAATTATCTCGTTATAACGAGATACTAACTCGTTATAACGAGATAACTAACTCGTTATAACGAGATAACTAACTCGTTATAACGAGATACTAACTCGTTATAACGAGATAACTATCTCGTTATAACGAGTTAATTATTTTTTTATCTTGTCAAAAATGAGCCTATCCGGCTTTCGTAATAAGTTGACATACTTTATAAATTTTTTTTTATTAATCGCTAAATTATGCATTTATGTGCATATCGGCTTGAATAAAGTGTAAAAATATTGTACTTAGAAAGACAGACTAGTAAAAACATTAGAACATGAAAAAAGTGAAGCCAATTATCTTTACTCGAAAGATAAAGATTACTCAATGATCACTGGATACTTCTGACATAGAAATTTAATTTAAACAAATGGTACGTAGATATCCTGTAAATACGTGGTGTTCTGTATAGGTCAGGCTCTCCACTTTTTCGTGTTATAGATATTAAATTGAATTATTTTGTCCTTAACAATGTAAACAAGGGGGGTTAGATGAAAAGGTTCTTGATTTTCTAGTCGCGCTATTTTTTTTTTTTTTTACGAAAACCAACTTGTGAGAGATGCATCTTCTGTTAGATTGGGCTGAGGTGTATGCCTCACCTAAGATTAATTCGGAAGTGTATGTACAGCTGATATTCCAGCAACCTCCCTCATCATATATTAACTTTAAAAATTTTCGTAGTTCAAGTTATATATGCATACAAATTGAATTTAAAATCAATAGGAAGAATATTTTCTTATCTGAAGATTTGGCATGTTAGTTTGATTTACATGATATTTCTTCCAAAATTTGTTTGAATCGCAGATCCAAATCCTTGCAAAGGATATATATATCTGATTTTCCATGGTTTGTTCTGAGTTATGGTTTTTATCCAACGAGTACTAGTTGTGTTTTCCCCTCAAGCTTGGTAAGGGGATTTCAAAAATACATATACGTGTAAAATCATATCCAAAAAAAAAAAAAAAAAAAAAAAAACAACCCCCCCTAAAAAAAAAAAAAACAAAAAACAAAAAAAAAACAAACAAACAAAAAAAAAACAAACAAACAAACAAACAAACAAAAAAAAAAAAAACAAAACAAAACAAAACAAAAAACAAAACAAAGCAAAAAAACAAAACAAAACAAAAAAAAACAACTAACAAGCAAACAAACAAAACATTAAAAAAAAAAAAAAAAAAAAAAAAAAAAAAAAAAAAAAAAAACAGAACAAATATCACTTTGATATTCTCTCATAGTTTGAAAAATATAACTTTTATTCAGTGAATAAATTTAAGAATGTAATAACAATTTGATAATGTAATAATAGCCATA